CCTTTATCCAGTGCTGCTTTGGTTCCTAGTATTGTTCTAAGTTCCGTACGGACACTGCTAACTCACTTAATCTTCACAACAACCCTGTGAAGGAAGTGCTGTGATTATCTGCATCCAACAGATAGAGCACTAAGGAATTTGCCCAAGTTCCCTGGGTGGTAAGTGACAGAGCTGGGATCCAGCCCTTTCTTTGCCTTGGTTTCCTCACCTGTGGCACGTGAGTAATGACACGATATCATAGGTGGTTTTGAGAACTACAGAAAATGGAGGCAAATGTTTAGAATGTGACCTTTCCCATAATAATAGCTCTCAATAAGTGTACTTTGAAAATGTTTTTACTGTTTATCTAAGTTGCTTGCAGCTTTAAAATTCTATGATTTTCTGAACACCCAGGCCCTTGAGATTTTGAAAATACCACAGGAATTGTAATGAAGTGAAACAGACTGGCACTGGAGTTACCTTGACAGGGCATACGTCTTTGAGGACTCCAGACTGTGTGTGTGTAATTCTTTTTGTTCTCTTTGGTAGATTGTGGATCCATTTCAGATACTTGTGGCAGCAAACAAAGCAGTTCACCTCTACAAACTGGGAAAAATGAAGACAAGAACTCTATCTACTGAAATTATTTTCAATCTTTCCCCAACTAACAATGTAATTAATATGGAATTTACTTTCTATCTGTTGACCTTGGCATGATCGCCTGTGTGTTGCTCAGCATTGGGTTGGAGCCTGTTCTTAGTAACAAACCAAAATAATAGTGAAGAGAGCTCTGGACGGAGAGTTGAGGCTTAGCACTGCCTCTTACTAGACAAATAAGCTTTGGAGTCACTTCACATATGAGTAAACAAAAGTTGAGCTAAATTACGTGTAGGTAGTTTTGTTTGTCCTTCTTACCGTATAGTCAGGAAGCTCACTCTAAGTGGCATGTAAATCTGAACGATAAAAGTCAGGCATGGGTATTTGCCTGTTACCATGTACATGGTTCATTCTCCCGATAAAGTCTTTAAAGGTAGAATCCATGTCTTTTCCGAATACCAGAGGCCTGATGCCTGGAACACCCCTGAACACAGGCTCACTCACACAGCCAGTGTGTAGGAAGAGTTTGTGGTTTGAGATACTGTTAGTAATCAGTTACTAAGCTAAAAACATTCCACCTGGGGCATGCAAATAAAACACCAAAAGCTGTAATTTTGCTGATGAAGTGTTAATATTACTACTACTATTAATATAACCAACTGCTAAATCGTCAAGAGAAAAACTAGGAAACCCACAGCATGGTGTAAAATACAGATGTTTGAAATGTTTGTAAAAGGCATGGTCCTACTATCCCCTAGTACCTGGGGGAAAATTACTGGATAAAACACTGTTTCTTTGAGATCATGGAAATAATCCAAGAGACCGTGTGATTCATAAGCATCTGTTGAGCTCGTCCCTGTCCCAGTTTGAGGGTCAGAAGAAACATACGTTCCTGAGGAAGGCAGGTGAACAGGCAGAAGTTTAAATGCCCTGAGATAACT